GGAGAACTCTAACACTGGTTTTGTGGCCGCAGATGATGACAGCGACTATGACGAGTTTCCTGATTCCCAAATTCCACCAGAAGATAGTGATGTAAAATGCCTGTTTTGTGAGTCACTTTTCTCAAGTGATTTTCGTGGTGAAATATGGGTTCAATGTCTTATGTGCAACATGTGGGCACATAACGATTGCGCAGGAGCTGAAAAAGTTGACTACGTTTGCGATTTTTGCAGATAAACTCCCTTTTTGTTAACTATTTGAATTAATAAAATACTATTTTTCATAATTTATCTTGTTATTATGACTTATAATATTGATTTTCTTGTTATTTTTTACAGTAGCCCATATTTGGGACCGATTTAAAATTTCCTCAAAAATGCACCCTCAACAATATATCAAATTATCACAACCACAGTTCTTCATATCAAAGTAATCAAGGAAATAGTTCATAAATAACTAATGTATGCATAGGCTAGCGTTTTTGCTTGTGAAATGAAACATGTTTTTTTCGATATATCACACAAAAACAAAAAGGTAGCCCATATTTGGCGAGTTTCCTCTAANGAACCTGCCATAGAAAATTGAATATTAATTTTTCTATGGAACCTGCGAATTGACCAAATGCAAATTAATGTTAGGCCATCAATACAGAAGAAGATAACCTTTTTCTGTCAAATCGTTGGTCTACGCTTCTACTTATTTTTATTTTAAGGAAGCAATTCCATAAAATTATATAACAAGTATCCATATTTATAATGGATATTGATCTCGTCAATAATTTGGAAGGCAGTGATGATGAAGATGAGATTCAGTTAACACCTGCTGAAGTTATAGAACTAATGGAAGAAGCTTGGATAAATGAAAAATTTGCTCCAGAGATTTTACCTCATAAGGCTGAAATAGTTGATTGTTTGTTAGGTCAAATATCTTATATGGAAAGTAACATACAGAGTTTAGAAAGTAGGGATTTTAAAAAAAGTATACATCTGTTAGAGGTAGATAGATTACATTTCCTAATATCAAGTTATTTAAGAATGAGGTTGGAGAAAATAGAAACATATGTGGTACACATTTTGGAACAAGAAAATGAAAGAATTCAGCAAGGAGTTGACTTATACTTAACTGAGCAAGAGTTAAAATTTGCTAAGGAATTTTCCGAAGGTCTGTAAATATGTGTATATTATATCGAGGACGTCATATCATAAGGGCATAAGAGCCACTATAGTCGGTTTTGGGTTTTTAGGGCGTATGACAACATACACTCAATTCGCTTAATATGTCAGGAGGGCGTATATATTCATAAACATCAACACTCTATTCTAACGCATTTTACATTATTCTAACGCAAGTATGAACCAATTTTGCAAAACTATAATATTAGAAAGGCGTAAGCCTGTAAAATTTCAGATTTGGTTCGTACGCCCTTCTGATATGACGCCCTCGATGACACATTGAAAAAAATAAAATAAACGTTTTCTTTTCAACCCCTCTACTTGTTTTTAGGTTTACAGCAGCACTTTGAAAACATTTCAAGTTTTTATCCTAGATTACCAAGGGACGAGTGGAATCAAGCAACTGTGAAGCCAAATATTCATAACTTTGTTTTTTTAAAATCCAAGAGTGATATTGACGATGTAGTTATAGATGATGGAAAGAATGTGCAAAATGATTTGGTTTACTTAAATCGTGGTTCTCAGGTGATAATATCCTATAAAAGTGTAGCAACATTAGTGAAAAGAGGTGATGTTCAATTAATATAATGCAAAGATAATTTTAAGGTAATAAAAAGGAATATATTTTTTTATATTAGAATGCATTTAAATTCCATATATTCATTATTGCTCCAAAACTTATTAAGCTCGATTGATATAAATTAAGATATGAAAGAGATTGCAATATTACACAAATTCTAACTGATAATTTAGGTCAGGTTAGATTTCTCTGTATCTGAAACATGAAAAATACCTAAGTCATGAAAATGATTTAATTAAAGTTGTCTCTGGCTTACGTCATATAATGCACACGTAGTGAGCTGCAAAGCAATATGAACTTGACTGTCCCTAGATTCCAATTATTACAGTTTAATTAAGAGTTGGTTTACAGTTCACATACCTAAAAAGTATGATCATGTCACTTAATTAAAACTTTTTGGTGCCTTTTGAATCTTGGATGAAATTTGGTGTTAGTGTTGAATAAATGTTCAAGTGATGTGCAAAATCTAAGTGTCACTGGTAGTAGATATAAAGTGGGTGCTGAGGCTTCTTGAAAAAGGGTCACACGTGCGAAGCAATCACACATTCGAATAAATTGCCAAGTTGCAAGTGTTGTTATTTAAACCGTAGCAAGTAGCATCTTGAACAGTGGCAACCAAGGACAACTTTTTACACTCTGCATGGTGGTTGTAGTGCCAAGGTTTAAAAAGTTTTAATTTTATTCATGTCATCTCACAAAGTTGCTCATATAATCTGTCGCGTCAATTTGGGGCAGATTTTTTATTAAATATCGACGCTTTAGTACGAAAATATGCTATCTCAGATTTTGGTTGGAAAACATGCTATCTCAAATTTCAGTTGGAAAACATTCTATCTCAAATTAAGCTTGGAAAACATGCTAACTCAGATCTTTAGGTAAAAACATGCTATCTCAGTGTGACTAGAAATTTAAGTTGGCACAATGAATGATTGAAACCGTGCATTTATAATAAACTCATATAACATATTTTTTAAAAAGTAAAGAATGTTTATGTTCAGGTACACTGTTTATTTTACTTTTTTTATTCAACATTTTTCAATTAATTTCAATATATTCAATTTTGTTAAGTTAGTGTTATAAACGACAAAATTGTTAATTAAAAAAATAGAATAATATGCAGTATGCTGCAACACGAACATTACTCGACGTTTTTTGATGTATACCTTAACCCTTCAGTGCATACTGTAGCATATTTGACTCAAACCAAAAATACAGCAATATAAAATAATAGATTTAAAAATGCGAGCTTAATTTAATTTGTATCATAGCTGAGTTCGGAAACACGTTTTCAGAGTGTGCGGTGTGGTGTGCGGGTAGTGTTGGGTTAATGTTAGAACTTGTTTCGAACAACCGAACAGTTCTGTGAGCGTTCGGATTGGTAAATGTCAAACACAATCCTAACCTAAAAAATATGTTGATTTTCTGAACTTGAACTGTGCTTATTTATTTTTTCCCTTGATTTTTACCTATAGTCTATAGTAAGTCGAAAATGAATTATCAACGCAATTTAGGGATTTGGCCCCAATAGTTTTATTCGGATTCGGTATGCTTTTCGACGATAATGACGAATTAGATATAAATAATAGTGAAAATGAGTGAAATGAGTCGAGAAAATTTTTTGTTGGTCAAATACAACGTATGAACTCCATGCAATTCAAACGCCACTTTAGAGTGGATATTGAAACTTTCGAGGATATTATGAAATGTATGCTGTATATGATTTTTCTCGATATGGTCATCCTGAAATAAGTTTGGAAGAGAGTACTTTAGTCTGTATATGGTATTTAGCAAATCTAGAAAGTTTACGGTAAGTATAATAATTCTGAAACTTAATTGTAATTTATTTAAATGTCGTCTTATTTTCTTATATCAATACCACCTATTATTTTACAGAGGATTAGCAGCTCGATTTGGAATTTCGAAGTCAACAGCATGGGCAGCAGTATATAGAATTTGTAGGGTATTTACTGTAATGAATGATAGATATAACATTATTAAATGGCCTTCAACTAACCGCTGCAGAACTATTAGTGATTCATTTTTTAGGAAACGTGAAATCCCAGGTAAGTTGAAAATTTTTTTATTTTAATTTTATTTTGAAATTAATTTGATAAATCTTACAAAGGTACATGTTTATTTCTTAGGAATAATTGGTGTAGTAGATGGATCTCATATCAAAATTACTCGACCCAAAAATTTCCCAAATTCGTATGTTAATCGCAAAGGATATCATTCTTTAGTACTGCAAGGAATTTGTGACCACAAAAAGTTATTTATCGATATATATGCTGGAGAAGCTGGTTCTTTGCATGATTATAGTGTGTTCTTAAAGTCAGGAGTAAATGAAAGTCCACCAGGAGATTTCCCAAATGAAAGCCATTTGATAGGCGATCTTGCATATAAATTGAGTACAAGAATGTTGGTGGGCTTTAAAAATAATGGATATCTAACACCGGATCAACAGAATTTCAATCAAAAGTTGTCCAAAACTCGGGTTATTATTGAAAATTCCTTTGCCCACCTCAAGGGCAGGTTTAGAAGGTTAAAATTTATTGAAACCATAATTCCACAGCATATTTGTCTTATTATATTTACGAGTTGCATTTTACATAATTTATGCATTTTGAAAGGTGATGATGCTGATAATATTTTCAATTTGGAAGAAGAAATTAGAAGAGAACGTAGATGTAGATCAACATTTAGAAGATCGTCAGGCTTATATAAAGCGAAATAATATTATGAATGCACTTGTAATTTAGACTGATTTTAAAAAATTTTGTAAACACTTTTTTCCAATTATATGAATTTAGCTGTACGGTAATTTTATTTGCATTAATAATAAGGATAATTTACAAAATAAAAGTATCATAAAACAGAACGTATTTCTTTATTATAAATGTTTTTAACAAAAATAAATGTGGGTATTTTTTTTATCTTCAGTCTTGGAAATTTACCTGAAAAAAGTAAAGATTTAAAAATGTAGCAAACTGAGATCATCTCTAATGTTGAATTTAAAAGAGGACAAGGAATTTATTTTGAGTTTTAAAATATTACTAACAAAAATAAACATTTATTTATTACCAAATGTAGTATAATTAAATGTAAATCTTAATCATTATGGTCTTGAGTTCTTAGTAGTACTGAATTAGGTGAGATAAAAATACTGCAAATACATATTGCAGCTTTATTAAAATAAACTTACATTTTGTCTACTAACTTCTCAAATAGATCCAAAAATCTGTCCTGTCTGTCCAATTTTTCCCGATGTCTGTCGTTGACATTCAAAGCATTTTTCCTTTAAAAAAATTTTCCTCGGATTCTTCAACATTTTCTGATTCAGTTGCAGATGTAGTCAACTCAGCAGAAGTACCTGGTTGCTGAGATACTACTCCCAATGAACTGCTTACTATTGCTGGGGGTGTTATTTCAGGCCTTTTAGCTAAAATATCATCCATAGCATTAAAGTATTGCCTATATCTTTTCTGACTACCACTTCTATCCATTTTAATCTTCGAACTGCGATAAGTTCTTTTGAGGCTTTTCCATTTATTTTCAACAGTTGTAACTGATAGCAAACCTCCAGTTTTCACATTCACATCGTTGGTAATTTTATGCCAAATATTTTTTTTCAAATCCGTATCAAACGATTGTTCATATTTCTTATACAAATCTATTAGTAGAAGCGTGTTAGCGTTGCTCCAATTTTTAGAGCATTCAGGAGTTTTTTCCTCAGTTGTACAGGTTGTACCCATTATGGTTGTAGCTCCAACTTGATCATCTGATTCCATAGATTGTTCATCTATAAGATGAATTTGATTTTGGGGCACCCAAATCTGAGAGTCTGTATCTAATACAATTGTAATTAAATAAATATAAGTATAGAAAACAACAATCTAATTTCTTACCGGAGTCACGAACCAATATATCTCCGTTTTCGTATGTTAATCCTTGATTATTGGTTTCTATTGTGAATGGCATTTTTTAAAATACCAGGAACAGATTAATTTAAGTCTAGTCGACACAACTCAGAGAAACAGAAAATTTCGAATTTAAAATTGACGCGACAATAAATGAATAAATGAGGTTAGTTTTTAAAGTGATTCTAAGTGCACCGGCTTCGAAGGTGGTGCTTATGGAGTTAACACCACATGTGCACTTAAAACATACCGAACGCTATGAATTTTTACACTTTTCTTACCCCTACTACATACCGAACGTAAAATTGTAAAAGTGCACTCGGAGCGAACACCAAACGATATTCCGAACTCAGCTCATATTCGGTACGCTCCGCTTTATAAATCTAGAGCTCTGATTGGTTCAAATAAATCAGGCGGCCAATGGAAATATTTCTATTGTCAGTCGAGAAGTGTATGTCATGGTGCAGTGTGAAGTGCATACTTGTTGTAGTTTCAGCCTGTTAATTATAATAAAAATAAAGAAGAGGAAAATACCATATAATATCAGGTATGTTTTGGTAAACTTTAATATATTATATTCACTTTTTATCCATTACAAGGTTATAATATTTACCTAAATAGGTTTGTATCATATATGGGACATCATGTACTAAAAGAGTTCAATTTATGTGTATTTTTTTATTCTTACAGAATGTCCCTCACCTATATTGAAAAGGGTAAAAGTCGAAGGGAGATAATTACAGATGAAGATGCTTGGGATATTTTAAACAACATTCCTTCGGGAAGCGAATTAGAAAATGATAGTTCGGATAGTGAAAATGAGGTCGAACTACAAACCTTTAGTGTGGATCATGACGAAGACGAAGGACCTGCTCCTGTTAGTTATGAAACACTAGAAACACTTTTGGGTGAAGAAAATTGTATTCAAATTGATCTACCTGTTGCTTCTCAAGAGGGAGTGTCATCAGTATTAGTTGCGACTACACCTACCTCAAATAATGTAACCACCCATGATGAAGGAAATCAAATGTTTGATTATAAAACAGAAGCAAAAAAGGTTACGTGGAAGAAAAAACATTTACCTGTAGTACATGACACATTTTTAGGAAATCCTCAATTACCTACCGCCTGTAAGCTAGATACCCCATATCAGTTTTTTAAGTATTTCTTTACTGACACTCTTATATCTAACATCGTTGAAGAAACCAATACTTATGTCCACATAAAAAATTGTAACAGCAACTTCTGTGTGAGTAGCAAGGATATCGAAAGATTTCTAGGCATATGCATTTTTTCATCCATAATTCCAGTGCCCAATATAAGAATGTTGTGGAATAATATCACTGGCAATCCTACTGTCATAGAAACAATGCCTCTTAATAAATTTGAGAAAATCAGACAATACCTCCATTTTAATGACAATGAAAAGCAAGTAGCAGACAGCACTTCTACAGAGTATGATAAACTATATAAAATTCGGCCTATTTTGGATGCCATTGGTGAAAAATTTTTGAGTATTCCCATGGAGGAGTGTTTGTCTATAGATGAACAAATCTGCGCTACAAAAGCTAGGCATCATCTCAAACAGTACCTTCCACTAAAACCTCACAAATGGGGTTTCAAATTATTTGTTTTATGTGGCATATCTGGTTTTGCATATAAAATAGAAGTTTATACAGGTTTAGAAAATAATTTGGCTCATCGTTTGCCAGGTGAAGCAGATTTGGGAGCGAGCAGCAATGTTATTGTAAGACTATGCCGCGAAGTGCAAACTCACGTCAATCATAAAATATTTTTTGATAATTATTATACCAGCATGCAAATCATAGCATATTTAGCTAAACGAGGCATATGGTCTCTAGGTACCGTTCGAAGAAATCGAATCCCTAATTGCAAATTAGCGTTAGAAAATTCAATCAAAAATAAACCAAGGGGCTACAGTGAAGAGTTTGTTGCTAGTTACATGGATATTGATATTTGTTCAGTACTTTGGAAAGATAACAAAACTGTTTTACTTTTATCTTCATTTGTTGGCACACAACCAATCAGTACTATTGAACGGATTGATAGAAAACAAAAAACAAAAGTTACAATTGAATGCCCCAATATAGTACATCAGTACAATAAACATATGGGTGGGGTAGACCTTTTAGATAGTTTCATTGGAAGAAACAGAATTAAAATGCGTACCAGAAAATGGTACCTTCGCATTTTTTATCATTTAGTTGACATTGTTATCATAAATTCTTGGTTACTTTATAAAAAAGTAAACAAAGAGAAAAATGTTGGAGAGAAAAACCTATTGACTTTAGTGGAATTTCGATCAGAACTAGCTTATACACTATGTAAGATAGGCTCAAATATGTCAAAAAGGGGAAGGCCAAGAAGTGACATACAAGTAGAATATGAGAAGAAACGTCATAAGGGTCCAGCGGCACATATACCTCCATCGGACGTTCGTCAAGATAATTTTGATCACTTTCCACTATACGATGTCAGAAATAGATGCAAATTTCCTGGATGCAAATTTCAGTCACTTATTACATGTCAAAAATGTGGTGTTTCGTTGTGTCTCAATAAAGACAGAAATTGTTTCCTAAATTTCCATAAAAGCTAGACTGAACACGTACAGTATATTGGTATTACATATAGTATATACACGATGTCCCACATATGGTACAATGTTGTTTTTTGTTTTAAATATATATATTTTGTATTGATTTTTTTTTCTTTATTTTTACCAAAATATGTGCCCAAAAATACACTGTACACAATTTTTTGAGTCAAATTTAAAAAATCATGCATTGAAGGGTTAATATATAAAAATGTTTGTTATTACTGAAAATTATTCGATTTTTTTCATACAAGTTTGCTTTGATATCAAAACTAATAGGGTACTCTTATCTGATTTACAGTCGCTACTCTTGATACACTTATTTTTCTTTTTCACAAAATCTGGGATATACAATTTATTCTGAAAATAATTTTGTATGCTTGTTCTAACTTTACTAGTGGCATAGGACCTTAAGTGTTACTTGTTAAATTAAAAATGGGAATCCTTAACCCACTAGGAACTATAAATTATGTAAACATTGTAAACCAGGACGATTCTCTATATATGTAGTTGTATTGTAGTATATGTCTGTATGTACTGTAATATTAAATTCGTACGATCTAAATTCGAAGAGTACGAATTCATATTTTCTTAATATTCATTCCTTCTGATCCTTGTATATGCGTGAAAATTTAAATTTCAAGCTGTGTTCCTTACTCTATTTTTCTGTTCGATGTATTTTGAGTTCAATGATGAATGCGGAACGATGATAATTTGTGTCTTTGAAATTATACAATAAATTAAATATTAAAATACATGAAAATGTATTGATTTTTTATATATTAAATAAATGTAATATGTATGTAATATCTTGATATTCAATACAATTTTATTTTTGTTACTGTAAATAAATTAAAAATTTTTGAGTTAATATTGCAGTTTCATTTACCTACATGTTTTATATTTGTCTTTGTTGCAGAATCATTTTTAGGTATTAGTGGTACTAACGTCTGGATTTTAAAATTTCATAAATTAAAAAAAAAAACAAGGAATTAATTATTATTTGTAATATTTAAAGTAAATATTTAGGAGAAAAGAATCAATATTGTAACTTTGTGCCGTTTCAAATTATTACGCAGTGTATCCCCGGATGGAGTACCGCAATTTTGTAAATTCTTTTATTGATGGTATTTCGAGGAAACGTTATTTTTGATAAAGATTTTTGTTTACGTTGGGAAGTCATGGGCAATAATTAAAAACATAACACATAAAGGAGGGCCAAAAATTTTGGGAATGTGAACCTTAAGCAAAGTGCCTATAATTATAATTTTTGTTTTCGTTAAAAATTGTATTTAAGAAAGTTATTTGAGAACTCAGTAAATGCTTAAATACGGAGTGCAGTCAAAAAAGAAAAATAAACACATTTTGTAAATAAGAAGACGTGGTTTGTAACTATATATTACTTAAAGCAGACATAAATTTGTAGCAAATAAGTGAAATTTTATTTTAAATTTAATTTAATATAAAAATAGTTATTGAGAAAAGTTAAAAATGTGGAAAACCGTAAACGCTGGAGAATTACCGACTTTGGTTTTAGAACTGCCATGTGTTTGAGAAAAACGTAATTTAAATTTGGCAGCATTTCATTAACTTGAAGATAATATTCTGCATCTTCGGGTTTTATGGGCGGTATCTTTGTTTGATCGGTTCAGACTGTGAAGGGCGGATCTGGTGTTGTATTAAGCCGGTAGTACCACGTAAATCCTTAAAGCTAGGTAACTCGGTCTCCAAGAAAGAAGGACTTCAACTTCTCTTCCTCCGTTGGTGATGTGGTTGACGACAGAACCTCCAAGGGATCTATATGTGATGATGAAATGACGGTGGCAGCGGATGGATTTATCAGGAAGTTGTGCTTGTGCAGGATGTCCATTCCTAGCACAACATCGGAGGATAAAGTGAGATACCATAGATAAATTTTTTATTCCCTATCCGGAATTGGATCTGGTAAACCTCGGTTACTGTCACCAAGTTAACATTTGCTAGCTGGACGGCTAGTGCGGTAGCGGTCTCATAATGTAGGCCTAACTGATGGATTCAGTCTCCTACATGTGAGCGTGCAGTTCCGGTGTCTAGCAGGGCTGAGAAGGTCTTACCCTGAATCCGGATTGGTAAGTGCTGTCGATTGTCCGGGTGGTTGGCTGATATGGTTTGCGAGGCAAGACTAGGGCGGAACGGTACAGGCCTCGTGACGGTACGGTTCCAGTCTAGTTTTCCGACTGAGGACACGGGCAGTCCCTAGTCTTGATTCCAGACTGTCTACATCTGGAACAGAAAAGACCGTGAC